TCCCCTTATCTTTGCATTTTCAGAGGTAATGCAAACTTGGGGTGGGGGTAGAATTAAGGGGGGAGGATTCTCCCTTCCCCCAGACTATTTTCTTCCCCCTGTGGCTTTATTCCAAGACTGTGAGACTATCTGGGAGGCAAACAAATGAGCTAAAAACAGCTGGCAAAGGGCTTTTGACAGGAGGAGAATCAGCCTGCTGGGTTAGGCAAAGGTGAGCTTCCTACCGTGTGCTTGCTCATAACAAACTGTGCCATCCTGAAGTGTTTCACCCATGGAAGGACACATATGTCAAGAGGCATCCACTCCCCGGCCAGAGATTCAACTAGGTGGAGGTGTGGAAACATGAAGACTGGCAATTTTAGTAACTTCTGCTTACTGGGATTGTTTTGTTTTGTTTTTTATTTATTGGATTTTTCCATATCTGCAAACAAAAAAAGGAAAAACATTTCCTCTTTATACATTTACATATTAGCAGAAATCTTCCACAACTTTAAATAGATAACTCCACATTTGGCACTCGGAAAATAAAGTAAGCCTTATTCATTAATTAAACCAAACTTTGACTCTTTCAACCAGTTATAAAACCTTAACCAATACTTTTCATAATTTTCCACATTTCTTTCTTAAGTAATACAGGTTAAGTTCTCCATTTCTGCAATATGAAACAGTTTAATAATAATTTCATCTTTAGAAGGGATAACACTCTCCCTCCATCTCTTGGCAAATACAATTCTTGCTGCTGTTAAAATATGCATAATTAAATATATCTCTTTTTTCTTGTATGTATCAGGTATCACATTCAACAAACAACATTCTGGGGTTAAAGAAAAGTTTTTACCTATTATTTTGTCCATAATTTCTTTCACCATCGCCCAATATTTTTTTTGTTTTACTACATAACCACCACCTGTGGTAGAAAGTACCAGTACTATGGTTACATTTCCAACAGTTTTTCCCTATTTTCCCATTGAATTTATTTAGTCTAGCCGGAGAACTATGCCACCTATAAAACATCTTTATAATATTTTCTTTAAAGGCACTTGTTCTTACAAACTTTATATTTCTTGTCCAAATTTTGTCCCATTGTTCAAAACTTAAATTGTAGCCTATATCTTGTGCCCATGCTATCATTGATGGTTTTACCTGTTCATCTATCATTTTCCACTCTAGCCAGAAATTATAAGCTTTTTAAATAAATTTTACTTTCGTGCCCATCCAAATCTTATCTAATTCAGTTTGGCTTGCATAAATACCCTCTTGTTTATCTTTTGACCATCTTGAGATAAGTTGATTTTTTCCCCACCAAGTCAAAGTGGTTCCTTGTTCTGGGATTGTTAAAAGGCACCTGAAGATGCTCCTCCGAAAGACACAGCAGAGGGAAAACATCAGCAACACAGATATCAGAAGTTGCTGCGTTATTCCCCCCCCCCTCAAGTTACAACTGGCTTATGGTGACCTCGTGGGGCTTTCAAGGCCAGAGATGTTCAGCAGTGGTTTGTGGTTGCAACCCTGGTATTCCTGGCCAGGGCTGACCCTGCTATATAATAACAGGCTAGCCAGCTTAGGAGGAGCTGCGGTGGCTCAAGTGGTTAAGACGCTGAACTGCAGGCTGTGGAAGGTCAGTAGTTCAGCAGTTCGAGACCCGGGTGTGCCGCATGACGGAGTGAGCTCCCGTCTCTAGTTCCAGCTCCTGCCAGTCTAGGAATTGAAAAGCAAGAAATTGCAAGTAGATAAATAGGGACCACTTCGGTGGGAAGGGAACAGCGTTCCATGCGCCTCGGTGTTTAGTCGTGCCGGCCACATGACCACGGAAACGTCTTCGGACAGCTCAGCTTGGAAACGGAGATGAGCACCGCAACCCTAGAGTCGGATTCGACTGGCTTTCGAGCAAGGGAACCTTTACCTTTACTTTAGCCAGGTTAGGGATGGGATGCCATCACTGGAAAATACAGAACAAGCCTGGCCTGGGTTCCCTCCTCACTTTGCTTTCATTCTCTCACTACTAGGGCTCATGAATGGAAAAAAAGGACCCTTCTAAACGAGTCCGTTTCCTACAGTGTTTTCGGCGGCAGCCCTCCTGCACGGCCAAGGGTCCAGTTTGCCATCATCCTTTGCCATGCATGCTTAATCTCATCCTCTCTACCCTGGGCTGGAGCTCTGCGTTCAGGTCCTGCAGGAGGGAGAGGCACCTCCTCTAAACAGAACGTCTGCTGAGCAGACTCTGGATGCGTAACGCAGCAGCGCTTCTCCCAGGGCTCTTTTTGTAGAAAAAGCCCAGCAGGAACTCATTAGCACACCCAACAGCAGGAAATCATTAGCATAGTGGGCCACACCCCTGACAGCACAGCTAATTAGCACATTAGGCCGCACCCCCATGTTACCAGAAGTGTGCTCGCCCAGCCACACCCACCTTTTGCTTCTTATTCTGTTTACCTTGTTTGTTGTCAAAACCCGGGGGGGGGGGAGGTTGTAGCAGGAACGCCTTTGCATGTTAGGCCACACACCCCTGATGTAGCCAATTCCAATGAGTTTCTGCTGTTGGGTGTGGCCTGTTATGCTAATGAGCTCCTGCTGGGCGTGGCCAACTCGGGAGCCAGCCGGAACTCCGTTCCTGTGCGTTCCTGCCCAAAAATAGCCCTGGCTGCTCCCACCCAGTCACCCCATTGATTGCATTTCCTCAAGGCAGGTATAAGGTACTGGGTTCGAGACGCGTATAGTGATCAGCTCAGTGTTTATTAGTGATTTCAGCTTAAGACAAGACTCTAAGACAAGACTAGCAGGGCTGGAGCCCTGTTTATATGCGTGCAAAACACCCCACCCAACACACACACACTCCCCGTGATAGGCTATTTACATTACAACTCCTACTCTATAGGTCCATTCCAGGATCTTGGCTATCTACTGTGCCGGTGAAACAAGCTTAGCCAGTATCCAGGTACTGTTCTGGCTCACTACATAACAGCAGGGTTACCAGCTCTGCGTTGGGAAATACCTGGAGAATTGGGGGGTGGAGCCTGAGAAGGGTGGGGTTTGGAGAGGGGAGGGGCCTCAGTGGGGTCCAATGGCCACAGAGCCCACCTTCCAAAGTGGCTGTTTGTTCCAGGGGAACTGATCTCTGTCCCCTGAAGGTCAATTGGAATCCCAGTCGATCTCCAGCCCCCACCTGGAAACTCGAGCTGCAGTGTTAGAAGAGTCAAACAACAAATATATACACTGCAGAAACCTTTTTTTATATAAGTTAAAGTGTTCCAAATGTTCCATCTTAGAAAGTGCAACGTGTATTATTCATAATATTCTAAAACAGGTATATATTCATTACATGCAATAACAATCTGTTTGTACAATCTAATAGCTACCAGTCAATTGACATCCTTTTTACACAATCAACCCCTAACGAGAGTTTCTAGAATTGTACAACCACTTCTCCTGGCTTGAAAGTCTTCTAAAGGGGGAAGTTTCCTTTTGTGGTTGCATTGAAGTTTAAATTGATGTTTGTTGCTGGTCCTACAAAAGGCCCATCAAGCAGCTGACATTCATAGACGGAGCACTTGAGAAAGACAGGATTGTACAAACTGATTATTGTTGTTGATATTGCATGTGATGAATAGATACCTGTTTTAGAATATTATGAATGATACACAATGCACTTTATAAGATGGAACATATAGTTTAACATAAAAAAGGTTTTTGCAGTGTATATATTTGTTGTTTTACCCACCTGGAGGTCGGCAACCCTTCCCAATGAGGTGCACTGGCCTGCATCTCTCATGCTGCTCAGGAAAGTTTGACGCCTTCCTCCCATGGAACTGGCTCTTCCTATGGCAGAACCACTGCAGTGGGAACGAGGCTTCACACTTGGTTCAACAGAGCAAAATTTATTTGCTCACCTTCTATCCCGCCCTCCCCACCGGAGCAGGCTCAGGCTCAGAATACGAGTCACTGCCTTTGAACCCAGACAATTCCTTCCACTGTCGTCGATAACAGCCATTGATGGGCCGCTCCAATGCTGACTCCAAGAGAGACCATCAGTGCCCCCAGGGATCATTTCCTGCAGGAGCACACAGGAGCGGAGCTCCGGCAGTAAAGAGCCCAGGGGGCGGGCACATGCAACAAGCCCCGCCCCCCGCTCCCAGCAGCTCTCAGTCAGAGCAAGAAGCAGCCAGCTAAGTTGCAGAGC